TTATTTTTTTGTGACAAAATTTTTGTTAAAATATTTGTGTTGTAATTATATAAATATCTTTTTTATTTAATATTAATTTTAATAATTAATGACTAAAATTTACATCATAATTACATTTGTGACGAATATTTTTTTGTGACGAATAAAATTGTTATAAATAACTTATTAACAATGTCAATTTTTTCTATCACTATAAAATTATTTTTTATGATATGTGCTTAATTTGTCACTAAAAGCATTAGTGACAAGGGTTTTACTAACGGTTTAAATTTTATCATTAATAATAATTTGTGACGAAAAATAAAGATTTAATGATCAATAATTTAGTCATTAAATGTGGATTTTCTTGTAGTGAGAGAGGGATTTGAAAAAAAGTGAGTTATTCTCTTTTATATAATAAGTATAAATATATTTATGCGAGAAAAGTGTATATAAATATTAACGTTCAAAAGAAATTGAAATTTCAATTTAGATTATATTATTTTATTTAATTAAAACTTAATTTTAATTTTAAAAATTTATTTTATTAAATATTAATATTTAAATTCAAAAATTAATTTTATTAGAATATATAATTGATTTTCAAATTTAAGTTGAAATTTTACCAATTCTATTCATAAGATTAGTTTTTTTGATGCTTTGATCAATTTATCCTACGGTTGGATTATTACTATTAATTAGCTGAATAAGTAGTAAAAAAGTGAGTTATTCTCTTTTATATAATAAATATATTTATACGAGAAAAAAATATATAAATATTAACTTTTAAAATAAATTAAAGTTTCAACTTAAATTATTTTATTTTATTTAATTAAAACTTAATTTCAATTTTAAAAATTAATTTATTAAATATTGATATTTAAATTTAAAAATTGATTTTATTAAATATATAATCAATTTTCAAATTTAAGTTGAAATTCTACCAATTCTATTCAAAGATTAGTTTTTTGATGCTTTGATCAATTTGTCCTACAGTTGGATTGCTACTCTTAACTAGCTGAATATGTAGTAAAAGAAAATATTTAGATTTCATTAATAGTACATATATATATATATATAAGTTGGTCAAATAATATGATTTTATTTCCGCTTCCTTCCCTTTTACCCTCTCTTGCACTTATCAGTTGTTATTGCAGGTATAAAGGTAGGGCGGACTGCTGCAATCTGTAGGAATTATGATGTGCCAATCGAACAAGATGACGTGCCAATCGAACAAGATGACGTGAAAATACAAGGTACGCATCTGTACTCATTTGACAGATCGACATCCAATGAACATATGCACCTTGTCTTCTTCTTCTTCTTCTTCTTCTTCCTTCTTTTTTTTCCTGATGTTCAACGAAATGCAGAGCACAAAGCAAAATAAGTAGAATAAATATACTCTTCTACAGTTTGAATGAAAGTTTCTGGTTTTACCTGGATATTATCAGTGCATAAGTTAGCAAAATGGTGTTTCAATATTGCAGTGCCACGTAAACAACATGGGTTGAGTGCAATCCTCCAAAAGCTACCAGGTATGATGACGCATTGAAGTTAATTAAACCCTTTCCTTTTTCCTTTCTTTTTTTCATTCATTTTCAGAACTTATTGTGGCGGGTAACTCTTCATTTCATATTCATTTTTGACTCAGGAATGAAACACTTATATGAACAAAAGCTGATCCATAAACGGGCCGAAGAGACTCTGCATAGGATAAGCAGTGAATTATCAAAATTAAATGCAAGACAGCTCGTTGAGAGTGGAGCTATCCCTGCATTCTTCCAAGCTGTCCAGCATGGCATAATGGAGTTTTTGGGTGCAGTAGTGGTTGAATCTTGTCTAGATTTACTTTCAAGTGCTGATGAAAATTCAAGAGACATGTTCATGCATGCAATTGAATATCGTGTAGAAAAATTTTTTCACAATGAAGATTTTTCCAAGAATAGGATATTTCTGATTGCTTACAGAGATAAGGACAACAACAATGTGCTACATATGGCCGCGAAGTTAGCTCCTGACTCTTTTCTAACTCGAATCTCTGGTCCTGCTTTGAAGATGCAAAGAGAATTACAATGGTTCAAGGTCATCATCTCGCATTTCATAACTCTTTCCTATCAATTTATATTGAACTATAAACCTATTCTTGTCTCATACAATAATTTATGATGATGACAATTAATTTAATCTAATTGGGTTAATTAGTAAAGTCTTATATATGTAAGATAGGCGGTTCTATGATGATGAATATGGTGTATCTTCAGCATCAGTTAATGTATGATATGTGTCATTTTCAAATGAATGCAGGAGCTAGAGACTCTAGTTCCAGAGTGTAAAGAATTCGTTAATCAAAATGGAGAAACTCCTCAGCAAGTGTTTAGTAGGGATCACAAGCAATTGGCAAAAGAAGGGGAAGAATGGATGAAGCAAACAGCTCAATCTTATACTGTAGTTGGTGCCCTTATCATCACTATTATGTTTGCTGCAGGCTTTACCGTTCCCGGTGGTAACAATCAAGATACTGGCCTCCCCATATTTTTACGTAAAAGATTATTTATGGTGTTTATATTGTCAGATGCAATTTCGTTGTTTAGTGCATGTACTTCAGTTTTGATGTTCTTAGGAATCCTCACATCTCGCTATGCCGAAGAAGATTTTCTTGAGTCATTGCCAACCAAGTTGATTATCGGCATTTGTACACTCCTCATCTCTATTACAGCAATGATGGTTGCTTTTTGTGCTGCTGTTTCAACCATGTTACGGGGACAATGGTGGGTTATCGTCTTGCTAGTTCTTTTTGCCAGCATTCCGGTGATTGTCTTTTTGTTATTGCAATCTCGGCTTCTTATTGAGATTTTGCATTCAACTTGTGGATCTGGAATCTTTATTAGGAAAAGATTCTTTATAACAAAATTGACAATCTCCATAAGAGAGAAGATGAAGAAATTTGCAAGGAAAAATGATGTGGAGTAGAATGAATAGTCTTAGTTAGGGAGGAAAATGATCCTCGGCAATTAATCTTTGGGACGTTGTTAATTGAATCTAGTGATGTGCCGCCTTTTATTGATGAAGATCGAGGCTGCTGCTAATTGGAGGACAAAGAATGCTGTAGCTCTACACACGCCCTTCAAATCTCACGCGCACCTAAGGTGTTTGCTCGGATGAAGCAGGACAAATCAGCCAAAGATGTTTGGAATAAATTGGCTAAACTATATAGGAGAAAGTGTAAATCGCTATGTTGCTGTTGCAATTGTTTTTAACTTTTTTATTGTGAAATCTATTTGAGTGTTGTGAAGTGATAAGTTTATATTTTCTATTTATATGATTTATTACAGTTGTAATTATTGAACATATACACTTATTCTTATCTCATATTTATGATATATGAGAATTTATTATATAAAATATATAGTAATTGAATCATTTTAAGGACAAAATTAACTCCAATACCAGAAGAAGAGTGGATAATGAGAGGAAAGCATGTCAAGATTTCTTGAGTGATTTATCCTGTTTGATTTCTCTTAATATAACCTTGTTTGATTTCTCTTGATATATAAGTTTAGATGAAAATTCAGTCAAATTTACAACTAAAGAATTAAAAAATTTTGTCATAATTTCTCTTAATTACAGGATGATACAGAGGGAGTGCTGCTAACATGCTAATGTTTTCAAATTTGCCTCAATTTATTAGTGCTTACACCACAATTAGTAAATTTTGTGATGATACCGCGGGTTTAAGGAAAAGATCCAATGATCACGATTTACTCCATGCAATTGGAATTGAAAGGTGATCAAGGCTAAAATCTGGTGTGCCTGAGCTCATGGTGAGGGAAGAAGACAAATTCTGGTGCATTCATTTATGCCACGTGTCAGAAGTGGAGTCCAAATAGATTTTGGATCCGGTTAAAGGTTAGGTGGAGTTCAAATGGATTTTGGACTTTGATTATTAAAGAGCTGGATTTGGTCTGGGCTTCTAGAGGCTGCTAAAGGATCGGGCTTACATGGTTATTTTTCATCAAGTTTAAGTTTGACTAATTCGAATGGAGCTCCTGCAACGTTGAAAACAAAAATGATTTATAATTGGGTTAGGTTTAATTTGACATCTTTATCTTGTATTTGTAATTATAGATTTTTTTTAAAATTTTTATATCTTAAAAATATGTAAAATATATTTAATATATTTAATATTTATTTTAATTAATATTTTATATATTTTTAAAATAATATATAAATATATAAACTAAAAATTAAAGTACTAGGAAATTTTCTTAAACAAACCCTAAATCGGGAAGGGTACCTGATTTGAAGCATAACGGTTCGAATCAGTTGGAAAAATATCAGAGACAATTCAATTTGGTTTCAACGGGCAGTGCAGGGCTAGTTGATAAGACAAGCTGGCTGCCGAAAACATCCATTACTACTTGTATTTATAGGCCTTTATGAACTGAATTGGTTGTAAAAAATAAAAAATAAAGTGTCCTCCAGCGACTTCTTTGTTTTGTTGACTCAAGTGTAAGTTTTGTATAGTTGTCATACTTCAACCGGCATGCTTTGCAATTTATCAACACAACTATATCAATTCGATTGCCTTTTGTTTAATGTTAGTTTCTTAATGGAAAATTATTAACATATATTCAGTTTCATATATTTTTTAATATTTATTTCAATTTTTTTGTTTATTTTTAATTTTATATTAAAAAATAATAATTTTTTTTAAAA